AGCAACAGCGAGCACAAAAGCATCATCAGCTTTGGGCAAGGGTTTCTCGCAGGCTGCACTTGCAGGTACTCGAACAGCACGGTGTCAGGCAAGACCACCAGGCAGGCAAAAGGAAGCGGCCGATCCAGATGCAGACATGGACACGGATCAGACATCGACTTTGCCTCAGGGCCCCTTTCACGGAAACTTGCCAGGTCTACAAGATCGGTGCAGCTACCACATCCGAGCAGTCCCAGGTGGCGCCGGGAACCCGGACGAGCCCGGATTTTTGAGCGAAGCTGTTTTTGTTTTGCTTCCCGAGGCCTGTGGCTAACGCCACGGAGGCCGTGCCAGGGGAGGCCATCCAAGAAGCCGCCGAGGCTAGGGGAAGAGTTGTAGGCACTAAACATAGTATTGGGGTGTTTTCAAGCGCCTATGCAAGGACAAGGGTTGCCAAGCAAGCCAGGCAACCACATCAGCGGCGAGTGCATCTGCTGCGCCGGCTGCTGCAGGTCCTCGCACGGTGCTGCAATAAGTATCCCACGGTCTGCGCATTCGGGTCCCCCTAGCCCTAGTCTTCTGGAACTCCGATGTGTTTGTGTAGTAATGGGCGAAGGAACATGTGGAGCCGAGGTCAGCCCTATTGGAAGCTGACGGGCGAAAATGAAGGCAGCCGTTGCCTTGCACCATACCGCTCATCGTAGGGATGCGCAGAAAGCCTAAATGGTCTCACCAGTATCAGTAGCGGAAGAACAAGAGGAACAAAAATAACGAGAGCAAGAGCAGGAGTTCTGCCCGCACCTGCTAGCAGCCCGCATGGTAACCGTAGCAAGGCTAGCATTAGAAAGGTCATGCCTCGTGGCAACTGGTAATGGTAAGACTGGAGACAGCATCATAGCGGTCATGGCTTCAACACTAATGCCATTGATGCCGAGGAAACCCCACCAGAAGCTGGGAGGGGACGGAGTTGCTGTTGCTGTCCGCGGCCTTGTCCAGGCGATCAGTCCATCGAGGTGGTCGTGCCCAAGGACCAGAGACTGCAAGCTTTCTGTCTTGCCATCCTGCACGTATTGCCTGTCCACCAACAGTGTTTGTGTTGCGCCGATCTGTCGATGTCTTGAGTCATTTATATGTGCTTCGTGCACCGCGCACCAATGCGCGGCAATGTTAGACTAGACTGCCGCAGTTACACATGACACACATCTGCATATAACATATTCACAATTAATCTGTCTCTCCGTCCGTCCGTCCGTCCGTCCGTCCGTCCGTGTGTTGGTCTCTATGCCTTTATGCATGTACGACATTAAACATAGGTGCTTCTTTCTCCCAGATGTAGCTCTACTAGGGTGGCTAAATGGGGTCCGGACATTAAGCGCGATCAATGGTCTACGAGCAGCAGGTAAGAAATGATGTGGTATTTCACTGTTCTTTTCTTCTGCAGCTGTAGAACAGCGGGTTGATGCAAAGAAGCGCAGGCCTCTGCCGACAAGGTGTAGACATAGCCGTTGTCTCCGTCTTTCTGGTCATTTCAGCAGAATCGGGGATCGCTGGTGTGTACGAGAAGGGTCTTGTTTGTATCATGTGGGTGACTCAGCGCAAGATTTGATATGATACCCGGCCCCATACGAGATCCACGTGCGATCTAAACGTGATCGAGATTGTGTAGTTTGTCGGCTTTGGAAAGCAGAGGAGCGTTAAAGCATGTTGACCATGTAATTGAAAGTGCAAGGAAGCAGCGTTTCTTAGTGGCCGGAATTACCAATCTTAGACCCTGACTTACGGCTTAAACCACATACCCTAAACCCAGGTGTTAGACTGTTATCCGACGTCTAGAACCGAAGCTCCACAACTTCAGATTGCTTGGCTTCCTCGATTCCTCACATGAAATGTTCTTTCTTCTCAGTGCAAATCTGTATTGAGCGAGATCAGCTTGCAAAATGATGATGGGCCGGAAGAAAAAATACGAGGTAAGCGAGATCAGGGTCCGGACATTAGACTAGCAGCATAGGCCTGGACATGAAGAAAAGCCGCTGCTCACACAAGTCAGTCAGCAAGCAAGCAAGCAAGCAGGAGGTAGGTAGGTAGGTAGGTAGGTAGGTAGGTAGGTAGGTGAGAGGGCAGGTAAGGAAGGAAGGAAGGAAGGAAGGAAGGAAGGAAGGAAGGAAGGAAGGCGCTCTTGTCTTTTCGTGGCCCTCATCGCAGGGCACGGTGGCCTCAGCCAGTGGTTCCGAGGCACCAGGGCGGTTCAGACAAGGGGCCCGTGTGATTCATTGTCATTGGCACAGCTTCGCGCCCCGCTCCCTCTTCTCTGAGATGTCACAGAGGAGTTGTTTGCAGGTCCTCCTCTTCAATGCCACTGGTGGGACGCCTACTTTGCAGAACACTTCCTCGGATGGAGCTGCAGTGGGACATGCAGACACTCCGACCACAGCAACGATAGGACTCCGCGTGTGGCGGCCCGATGTGACAAATGTGTGAAGCTCTGCCAGGTACGGAGCCGCCTGCTGAGCAGTCGTCCGAGACCGAGCAGGACGGAGGGCAGTGCGGAGCAGTTGCCATCTTCGCTTTGTAAATATCAAATCTCGGCTTGGCGGTGTGAACTTGATCTTTCGGCAGTCCCTGTCGCGCAGTCAGGAGAAGACTCCGATTGGGAAGGCCAGTTCTAGTCCTGTCTAGTCCTGACCATCTTGAGCCGGGCCGATCATGAGCATGGGAAGTGAGAGGTGAAGCTCCCCGTCGAGGTGTCCAAAGAGTCCTGCGAGTGCCATGGCCCGGTTTGAGCGGAAGCGAGGGTGAGGGCGGTGAGGGCCGTGAGGGCCGTGAGGGTCGAGGCTTGCGTACACGCCAGGCTCGGCGGCGCTGCCAAAGACGGCGGACAGGCTTCTGAAAGCCCTTGTTCTCTCCCGGGTTCTGGCAAGTTTTCCAAATCCTTACGGCCCAAAGTCCGTGCAGGTGCTCCGGTGCAAGCTGGAGCAAGAGGACGTGCGTGAGGTGCCCATCAAGGCTCCCGGCTTGGAAGACGGCTCCTCTTCGCCTTCTTAGCGACGTCAATGCTGACTTTGAGGTGATCGATGAGCTCTGAGAGAGGCAGAAGTTGAAGCGATTCAGGGCGCTTCGAAAGAGTCTCGCTTCTCTGGGGATCCGTTTTTCCAGAAGGTCAAGCTGCAAAGATCTGCAAAGCATGGACAGCTGACGGGGGCGCTACGGGGCGATCCACCCTGGCGGTTCGAACTCGAAACCTTGGATCCGGCTCTCCATGAAACTCAGAGACGGACGGGTTGAGTTCCTACTTCCAGCTCTGGACCTGCCCCGAAAAAACGCTGCGCAGGCCCGTCACCGGGACAAAAAGAGCGAGGTCAGAGTCAGCCTGCAGCCCACGTCCCTCACCGAGCCTCCACTCCAAGAGCTCCCAGCCTGCATCATGCGACGATGGGCTTGCGTCTCTCTGATGCTGTTAAGAGTCAAGATCACAACACCCGGCTGTTAGTTTCCGGTGCGTTGTGGAATCATTGGGTGGGAGGCGCCGAGACAGCAAGACCATGCCATGGCCGGGCCAGCCTTGGTTGAATTCACCGACGCCCTTGGAGCCAGTGCCCCACTCTTCGTGCAGTGTGCAACCTGGACGCATGGTGCTTCGATAATGTCATCGAGTGCTTGCTCTGGCGCACATCGGAATGCAAGTTGCTTTCGTGCAGCCACGAGCCAAATGCGCCTGGCTTGTAAGGCTTGGGAGGCCAACACGCTCGGGAGCGCCGAGTCGGAAACCGCTGAGGCCGAGAAGCAGATCTGCCGGTTGGTGATTTTCGACACAGGGCGCACGAATATGTAGAAAATTCCGGGTGGGTTCCGGTTGTTTTGCGATATCTCGGGCCGCAGCAATCAACATCCAAGGACGGCTCACACTGCTGGCGCGGCCCACTGTGCCGCCGTCATCTCGCTGGTCCGCTTGGGGAGAGCCACACGGCACAGCCGAAGTGGTTTTACTTCCGCTTTGTCTTCAAAAGAGATTTCCGGAATATCCAAGTGCTTCCTGGGCTAGATTTGGGACGGACTGACGCCCGGGTAGCTATAACCTCCGGGTTGGCGACCCTGCGAAACTCAACAAAAGATAAAATAATGTTACCCGCATTTTAAGCCCTAGGCGGCGACAGTGACGGAGCAGGGTTCACACAATGGAAAATCGGTCCAATGGGCATTCGATTAACTACGTTGGATTTGATCCGTCGTGTTAGCCGTGGCTTATTCTGGGAGATCCCCCCCCGCTGTGCTTCCCGGCACCGGTCGCTGGCTTTGCCGAGTGCAGTGGTTTCATGAGTTGCCTGTGGCCCCAAGGTTGGCGGGACCCGGTGAACTTGCGACTCCTTCGATCAGCCTTGGCATCTCCACAACCTTCAGGACTGCCTGCAGCAGAAAGCCTTCTTGAGACTTCTTTGGGCCCCGTCGTTGTCACACGAGGCACTTCAAGCGTTCTGGGGCCTCGCGCAGAGGCTTCCTGGAAACTGGTCGAGGCGGGGGCCGAGCCGAGGGCAACAGAGAGCCCACGAGGGCGTAATTAGGGCTCCGCCACGAGGCCTCCGCGGCCTCCGCGGCCTCTGCAGAGCCCGAGCTGGAGCTGACGGTCCGCTTTGTTTACAAGGCGCTGTTGTGTCGGCGTTGCCCTCCACCTGCCCTCGACTCGCGCCTCGCGCTGTCAGGAAGGCCCCGTTGCAGCCGTGCAGGCCGCCCGCTTCCACACTGTGCCGCTTGTAGCGGCCTTGGCTGGCCTCTGCAGGGGCGTCAGAGATCTGCAGGCGCTGCGAGGGCTGACTGCTGGTCGATCTTGTAGACGTCCATGCCCCATCGGCACAGAATCATTTAGAGCACAGAGCCACTGGCTCCCAGTTCCTTGTTGTCAAGTGAGTCAAGATGAGTCAAGGATGCCTTCTCTTGCACAGGCAGAGGCGCTGGAACAACAGCGCCGCGTGGATGGCAGTTGGCAGACAGCAACAGTCGCCCTACTGTAGCGCAGCACAGGCTTCTGGCCACCCATCCCGTCCTCACATTTGCAGAGTACATTCCTGTTTGTTACTGTGCGGACGGATCTGTCCTTGATGTCTGGTCAGCAGGGCAGGTGCCGTGCGAGCAGTGGGAAGCTCTTGTTGCAGTTCCGGGAGTGATTGGGTGCCGTCGTGTCGTGGACAGATCCCCAGGTCTTGCCAAAAGCCAGCAGTCGGCTCTGCAAGAGAAGCAGGAGAAGGGGTGCCAGAATAGAGCACGGCAGAGTGAGTTCCGCCCGAGCAGTGGCAAGCCTCATGCACCATCCCCCACGATACGCAAAACAGCATGACTGTCTCCCCCGCAGAGAACTTCAGCCCAAGGCTCAGTTTCAGCCGATAGCCGCAGGAGACTTTGAAGCGCCAGCTCGAGGCGCTGCCCAAGGAAGCCGAGGCCCAGGCCGGGTCCCGGACTCGGGTGAGTCCCCCTCCCTCTTGCGGGTCTTTGGGGTTTGAGGGTTTTGGAGTGCAAGGGCTCAGGGGTGCAATGCTAGGGATTTTTAGGTAGGGTCTTCGTTGGGCTTGATTTTCACCACTGCGACGCAGATGAACGGGCGAGGGGGCACGCAGGAGATCTCGTGGTCGTAGTGCACAGTGAGACAACGAAGGATGGTGCTGAGGAGGTTGGCGATGGTCAGGGAGTAGTGCATTTTCGGCGGATTCATCAAGACCCGGATTATCTCCTCACGACCGTGCCACCCCCGAAGCAAATGCTCCGGCAGCCGCATCGGGCAGAATCATTTGTTTCATGGATTCACCACTGAAAGATGGACTTAATGTCTGCCGCGTGGGCAGGAGAAACATCTTCTGGAAGGTCTTTGCAGCGTGCTGCCGCTCGGTGTAAGGATACCGGCAGTCAAGGGGTGGGTTGGACAGCGAGGATCCTCAAGTGATTTGTAATCTCTATTTGCATGACCCGGATGCCCCGAACTGCAAGCAGCAGATTTACAATGTCTAGCCATGATCCGCCTTAACTTCTCTTGCGCACGGAGCACTAGAAGTTCCATGCTGCCATGCCCAGCGAGCTTCGTTCAACCAAGAAATGCACAGAAGCGGCGATGCCTTGGACTATTTGATGTCTTGGCTGACGGTGGTGCTGGACGCGAGCCCGCACACGCACCGACGATGTCGCTGGAGCACTGCTTGGACCGTGAGGTGGGACCCGCTACTTGAGTTGGGAGATTTTCGATTTCCGACGGGCTCAGGTGGACGTACCTCCGCCATCACTGACACGGCTGCCGCAGCCGACGGCGTCGGCCCCGTCCATGCCTTCTGCCGCTCCATCGTTGGATTTGGAAAGCCCGATGGCTTCCCTAGCCTTCGGTGACAGCTTCCGTGGCGCCCCCGAAACTACCTTCAGCATTCCCTTGACATTGGGCATGAGTGCCATTGGCTTTCCAATCAGGGGCGGAAAAGAGCACTCGTGCGCAAGCAGTGTGCGTTCAGCTGCCATTTCGGTGCATGAGCTGTGAGACGTCGTCTGCCTTGCTGCATGAGAGGCAGCCCCACCTCCGAAGAGCCGTGATCCTTCAAAGCGATGTGTTCCTTCCAACAACCTGTAGTGGTCGGCCTTTGCCTCTGATCCCTGCCGCAGGCTTCAGAGCAACCGCCGACTCAAGCAGCAGCCAGCAGCCCCCCTCAGCCCGTAACCGTTTGCAGACAAACGTCCGCAGAGCACTTCTGCCCATGGCCGTCCCGTCGTCATACCTGAAGAGGCGTGACAGCGGATGCAGCGCGGGGGGGGGGGGGGGGGGGNNGGGGGTAACAGGTTTTTGCATGGAGGTCGGTGAGGTGCTTCCTCAAACGGTTGCGCTTAGAGTTCCACAGAACGTTCAATTGCCTCATAGCAGCTTTGCACACTTGCGCAGACATCAGCTGGCTCCCAGAGCTGCGTTCGTCCTTCAAGTACAGATTCCATGTTTTCACAATGCCTTCTGTTCAGCAGTGCGCACGGCTGGGGCTGGTGCTGCTGTGCAGCTCACGCGCCGTGCGCGTCGGCGAGGATGTGAGCCTGCAGGCTCTCGACATGCTCGGGCGTGAGATTGCCCAGCAAGTGATGGTGGCTACCGACAAGGACTACACTTTCGCGAGCTTCCTTCACGGTGACAAGGCATCAGATCCGGCGCGCGTTCCCAGGCCGTTTCTGGAGTATCTCTCCCATAACATGGGCCTCTGCGGGGAAGTGAAGATCCCGGCATTGCAGTATGGAGTGGTGTCGCTCAGCTATCGCGGCTTTGCTTCTTTTCAATTCTCCTGGTCAGGTGCCATGAACGAGATGAAAGACAAGTCCGGGGGTGCCGTGCGGAGCCCCAAGAGCGTAAAACTCGTTCTCGGCGGCGCTGTTAATGTGAACATCCCTTGGCTGGGTCATCTTCGGTTCATTGCAGATGGCAGCCTGAGCATCGACAGCCCCAATGTGCCTGGCTTCGTCGACCTGATCGCTAGCGGCTTCGGCGCACTTTTGATGAAAGGTTTGAGCAATCTTGGCAGCCTGACTCTCGGCATGCCCTCTCAGGGGGAGAAGGAGAGAAAGGAGATGCAGGAGCTGGAGATGGCTTTGCAGGCAAACTACGGGGAGAGCCGGTTCCTTTCGAAGGAGTACCTGTGGGCAGAATTCGCGTTGGAGAACTCGGAGCTCATCTACCTACAGATGTGGTCCATGAGCATGTTGCTGACGTGGGAGAGGCCCTCCTTGCTCGGCAAAACCCCCGAAGAAGTAGTCTCACTCCACCTATATCAGCTGGCAAAGGCAATCAGTCGAAGCTTCTTTAATGGCAATGAGATGTTCATCACTGAGAGCTGTACAAAGGAGGCAGGCGTCCGGTTCAATGCAGAAGGTCTGTCCTTTGAGCAGTGCCCCTATGGTTTCTTGAAGAAAGATCTTTTCTTCTGCTACCCGCCACTCCGCAATGGGAAGAGGCTAGAGATGGACGAGCAGGGCAATGTGAGAGACAGCTTGGGGAGGATTATCATAAGATATCCGAGCGGCGAGTTTCACACAAGCGAGGAGCTTGTCTCCGACGGCCTGCCTGCCCAGCGAATGTGCCGGGTCCTTCATGCCCTTGCAGAAGTGGACCCCAACTATGCCAAAGTCAAGAATGTGGAGGTGACCATCACAGGCAACTACGAGGACACACTCACGGAGAAATGGAATAAGTTTTTCAACATAAAGAGCACCAGGACGTTCAAGATTCCGCCGCATGTCTACGCGGTGGTGCCACGGATTTTTGATAGGCTTCTAGGGGCCTTAGCAGATGGAAAGGCCGCAGAGGTGCTTGAGTATATCGATAGTTTCCACGAGGAGCGTGTTCGGCAGGAAGCTGGCACGTGGCTGAAGATCTTCTGGGATGACTTGGGCAACTCTTCAACAGATGGCCGCCCGCCCGTGCCAATAAACGAAGAGATTGACGAGCAACGCCAGGCAACGACTTGGGCAGAGGTGGAGGATGCCTGTAAGCTTACGGTGGGAGACCAAGGGATGCCGGCCAGAGCCTATGTGTCAGAACTGCGCAGAGGCAAAGGCCACACGAGTCGTGAGGAAGTCAGCACGGCGGACATGGCAAAGCTTCTTGCGCTTGAAGCAGCTACCATCAAGTGCGCCACTGCCACCGTTGTCAGCCCACTTCTGAGGCTTAACATTGGAGGTACCGTGCGCGCTCTCTTGGATGAGGTTCGGGCCAGCAAGGAGGATCACCGGCTCAGCGGCGTGAAGATCAATACCAAGTGGACAGGGACCCTCGCGCTTCAGGCGGACAATGCAAGAGCTACAACCTTCGTATCCTGCGTTGTAGATCCCAGCGATTTCCTGAAGGTCTCAGGGGCCTGGTCCTACGCCTTCAAGGGCATCGTGAATTCCGACGGCCGGGTGGTCAATAGCAACGAAGCAACCACAAGCTCCTCCTTCAGCTTCAAAGGTTACGTCACCATGCCGACGGTGACTTTCCTGAAGGGTATCGGCTACACCTACAGCGGCTGTGCGAACAGATACTTCTGCCCGAAGCACACGGGGGACTCGACGCAGGAGTTCGGTTTCAACCTCCAGGTTCCTGAGCAGCCTTGGATGAAAGGAGACAAGCTGAGCTCCGCAGCCGTTGGCCTCAGCTTCGAAGCTTTGGCCCAGGATCTGGAGGTACATGTCCGCAACTTCCAGCGAGCCTTTCATTTCGAGGAGAACACGCAGTGCTTGGCCAAGGAGCAGGCGAGCAGCAACGAGACTGTCGATCAGCCCGTGAAGGAACAGGAGGCACAGAAGTCCTTCTTGAGGAAGGCTGTGGAGAGAGTCCAAGCATTCTTCACAGAGATTCCCAGCATGACCACGGCCCATGTGATAGCGCCCATCCAGACTGGCATCGCAGTGTTGAGCCCCACCAACCTGGTGCTCACCGTGAGGGCCACAGATTCCTATAAGCATGGCAAGAAAGATGGCCCCAAGGCCTTAGCCTTTGGAATTGACACAGCCCATGTCTACGGCACGGACAAGATCCCGGCTTGGCTCCAAGAATGGTCGGTTGTTGGAGCGCACGCCTACTTCACCAGCGGAGTCTCCATCGACCTAACGGGGCTTCTCATCGACGGCCTCCGAACAGCGGAAGGCAGGAGGCTGACGAGCGCTGACGGTGCAGAGCGCTGACAGGTCGATGCGCCTGACAAGGAAATCAGCTTCGAAGGGCTGCAGCCTCCAACATCAACGTATTGGGGACGTACCCGTTATGCGGTATGCGTGGATTGACTTAAGGTCTGCATGTCAGATTTTGCATGTGTGTATGTATGCCATTAATTGCATGATCACTGTTCACACATGCATGTATTTGCGTATGCACCCGAGGGACAAACAAGTTTCTTTGTGAGGACAAGGGGTGCCACCTCTGAAGCCATTGTTAAGGCCCACATCAAACCTTAAGATCTGAACACGAACCGAGCGGCGCAGGGTGGGGTTGGGGAGGAAGCTTGTAGAGTTTCCTCTGCTCGACGGGCGACACCCATCCCGGGCTCCTTCCTTCGGCAGTTGCCCTCCATTATCCAGCGGCACCCCACTGACCCTGGACGAAGTCGAAGGGATTTTAAGTGGCACAGGTCTGGCTCGGCGCCTCCCCAACCCAGCACCAGGAGATCTAGCTCCTAGCTCCTCAACACTACAGCGGATGAGCCAAGCAGGTTGCTGTCTGACTTAACACCCTGTAAAAGTGCACTCTGACAAAGCCCTTGGCCAGCAATACACAGATGCAGGGAACAAACAGCATGTGGGACAAATCCTTGCATCCCGAAACGAGTCTGCCATGCGCAGCAGGGCCCCGTCTTCCAATGAAGTTCCAGGTTCTAGAGAAGCTGAACCAGCGGCCGGGCTTTGCTTGCAAACCAGGATATGGACTCGCCCCTGGCTTCTGCGAAGGCCGAGGGTCGCGAAGGCAGCATCTGCCCCTGCACGCTCCAGAGCTCTGCGAAGTTCTCTTGCATGGTGTGATCTGTAGTGAGGCTGGAGGCTACTCTTTACCAGGGACCGCTCCGCAACTCCGGGCCGTGCGCAGGCCCTGGTAGCCCGCCGAAGTCGGCTGCCGGCAAAGGTGGGAGCCTTTTGCATCTTCTCCACCCCGATGTTCATATCTCGCGCTATTCCGATGTCTCACAGGACCTGAAGCTTGCAGAAGTCTGAAGATGGCTTCGGATGTGGGGATAGGTTCAGTTCACCACATCTCCCCTCCTCTCTCAGCACTCGGAACCCCGACTCCTAAACTTGAGTCAGTTTACTTAAAATCAACTGCCCGTGCCTTGAGCAGTCTGCCCCGATTCTTGAATCTCGTCTAAGCTCCTTGTAGCTTAATCCACAACTCCGGTGAAGCCCATTTTCAGAGACCGCAAGCCGTAGAACAAGCACGTCTATGCTTCTGCCTGCACACTCGCGCCCAGAAGCTTCAGGCACCCAAAGATTGAGCAGAACTCGCACGAATTTCCATGCGACAACTTCTTCAATCCACGATAAGAAAAGCCTCCAACCCTAAACCCACTCTCCGTCTGGGAGGCGGCCGGGGCGCTGAGGAGAATTCCCCACGGCCCAAGCCACGTGGCAGCGGCGAAGGCCTGGTATTGCTTGGGCTGCCACAGTCGGTTGGGGGTTCTGGGTTAGGGCAGAATTGGGCAGGAGTTCCTTACCACATTGTTTCTAGAACATATGTCCTGGTCGTTAACCATGCAATTCTGATCGGTGAGGATCCTTCAATGCTTCCATGGCGTCGTCGCAGTTTCGACTTCTTCACAAGCTCAGTCTGAAGATCGAGCTTCTTACGGTCAGTAGAAACAAAGCAATTCCTCATGCGATAAAAGATGCACTCCCAAGAGTTTTTGACCGCCTTCAACACCGACGTGGAGTTTAATGTAGGGGCTTCAGCTTTTGGAGGGTCCGCTCACGGCTGAAGGACCACCGAAACACACATTGAAGCACACTGAGACAAACGTGCATGCACCGATACACTTAGCATGCCGCTACTAATCCTAAGGTGCTACGAGTAATGCTGGCTCTGATCGAACTTCGAAGAGCAACAAGCGGGTGATGGCAAGTGCTTGAAACTCTCGAGAGCAGGTGAGGCTCCAACCGAGCAGAAGGAGTTTCCGCTGCAGCAGGAGAAGGCCTGGAGAAAGCGCGGGTGTAATTATGGAAAGGTTAATCAAAGTGCGTACAATCATGCCGTACTTTCTGCCTCTCAAGGGCTTTGCTTTCATCGCCCAGCATGCTCACGCTGTTGTCAGCCATCTTCCTCCCCATCCGAGCTTCCTTCCGGCAGGTCTTCGACCGCCTCTATGCGAGTGTCACGGCTTCAAAATCAGCTGCCCCTAGGCTCCAAAAGGCTTCCTGGTCCCAGCAAGCTTAGGACACGAGGATCGCAAAATTCGACTGGCCGAAGCGCGCCAGAAGGAGAAGGAGCCGTTGAGCCGCCCCTTTCTGTTGTCGTGCAGCAACCTGGCTGTGGAGGAGGAGCAGCAGTTTGACTTCCGTCCCAGGCTCCAGACTGACGAGAGCACTAGAGTCACTAGAGCCAGGGCAAGGAAACTTGAATGCTTCGTGTTCTCATCAGAGTTCTCTCCTTTCGTCCTTGTCATCTTCTTTGGAAGTTCGAAGTTCTCTCTGCCCCTTGGAGCTCTGTAGCCGTCGGCCAGGCTGGAGCTGCCGCTCGGACCCGCAGAGAGCAGAGCGTCCTGCTTTGTTCCTTTTTTGGCATAGGAAAAGAGGGAGAGCAAGAGAGACAAAAGCGAAGCCCTGTGCATGGGAGGAGCCAGACTGGCCCCGCCGCCGAGGCAGGGGAGCGAGCAGAGAGAGTGTCTGTTTGTGTTGGCCCGTGCTCTTGTTTTCAGAGGCCTCCAAGCGGCTTCACGAAGGGGTCGCCAAGAAGAGGCAAGCGCGAGAGGACCTTCAGCAGAAATACGATGAGGAGCCTCTTCTCCGCAGCAAGGGGCAGTCACACGCCCCCCGTGCTGTGCACCGGATCGGAGCATGCCGTGCTGAGGTTTCGTCTTCTGCACCCCTTCCGCCCCGAGCTGCAAGCGGCGGAGAAGCCATGGCAGAACCGCGAGGCGAACGCTTCGGGGGAGCCCCCGGTCCTGGAGCCCCTGAGCGATGGCTGAGCCCTGAGGAGTGGCTGCAGGACCAAGAGGAGTGGAGGCGGAAGAGAAACGATGCTCGGTCTGCGAAGCAGCTGCTTCCTTTTGGAGCCTCTTTCACCTTCGCTTCCCGAGGAGAGGAGGGCCGGGAAGCTTCAAGAGCGCCTCGGCGCAGCACGAAGCGACAGAAGGCTTTGGCAGTTCTTTGGAGACTTGTTGACAGACATCCACAAAGCTCCCTGTGCTTCTATGCCCCCTGGACCAAGCAAGGAAGCTCGACGAGGAGGCCCAGTACTTGTCCTCGAGGAACCTGCACCGCGGGGCTCAGGCCCACAGCGTTTCGGGCTTTAATATGGCTTGTTGTTCTTGATTCTTGGAACTCTTGGACGACGGTTTTTGGGCGAGGCCGACCCAGAGGCCGTGGGCAGGCGACTCTTTCTCGCCGCCAAAAAGCGCGAGGCGAGGAGGGAATCGGAGGGTTGGCCCCTGTTTCGATGCGTCCTTTCTTGGGTGGCGCATGGGCTTGGAATTTGCGGCAGCAGGTTCAGCTGCAAAAGCTGCGGGCGAAGCATTTGGCCAGACGCCCGGACTGCTTCGTGATGAGTGTGACAGCTCCCAAGCTCACGTCCCAGGCTGAGGAAGACGAAGCTGTCGTGCAGCTCGGGTGCAACTTTTATCTGACTGCCCCTGCCCTCATGGACACCTAGGAGGCTTGACCAGCTCTTGCAGTGTGGGCTGGGTAGATCAGGCTAGCAGAAGGGTAGGAAGTTTGGCTTCGATGGGGCTAGTCGACAAGACACACTTCCTGCCCGGGTGACGAGCCCAGACACGTGTCCACGCTTGTCAGCGGTTGAGCATTGGTCGAGAGACGAGTCTGTTGGTGCAGCAGATGTGAGCCGGGGTCCAGACAAGCCGCGACGAATCCATGCTTCTTTGTAAAACGACCTAGAGGCCAACATTGAGGAGCTCCGATGCTAAAGCGCATTGATCTCAGGAACTCGCTCCATCGAAAGCTCGACAAATCCGCGGCATCCTGGCTAGAAGAGAGCGAGCCATCGGACATCGCAAGCCTCCAAAGCCGCCAGCCGAGGAGGCTGCCGAGAAGGTGTCTTGGCACGGGGAAATAGCTCGGCTCGCAGACTGCTCGTCGAAGCTGTGGGAGTCGTGAGAGGTCGGCCGTGTGGTTGACCGCCTCTACGGCCAGGACGCCCTTTACGGGGAACGAACAGTCTTGGTGACGTCAGGGAGCTGGCTGTGAATTCAGACCTTGCGCAGAGAGAAGTCACCAGTATGCGAGGACAGGCAGGAACGAGAGCAGCGGCAGGAGCAGCGGAGGCGGATTCCCTCTGGCTCTGTCGGGGTTTCGCGCAGTTCGGCCGTTTCTGGCACAAGCCTGGCTCAAGGCATTGGGGCTTCGGAGGGGGAGTTTGTTGTTTTGCCTGGGCTCAGACGCGAAAGAGCCGGGCCAACCGTGCAAGACGATCCTTTCGATTCGACTTGGAAGGATGAAGAAGCGCCTGGCCGAACGAGCCGAGACTTCTCTGCGCCCTGGCTCACTTCAGATTCCAGGCGTACTGAGAAGCTCCTGTTGTGACATCTGGAGCCGCAACCAACGCCAAACTTCACCACGCCTACGCCTAGAGCTTTGAGCCCCGGCATCACAGACAGGAGATCGTTTGTTCGCTCGTAACTCCCCTCTCTCTCTCTCTACAGCAGTGGCTGTTAGGCTCGAGGCGATGTCCGTGCACAGCCCCGTGGATCTCCCATGCCACTGAGCTCAATCTTCGGTTTCCGGGACGGCTCCCTTTGAGTGTTGTGTTTGGGTTTGAGGTTGGGGGGGTTTCAGAGGTAGCAGGGTTGCGATAAAGGAGCTAGGCGTCTATGCTTTGGGTTGCTGCCTGTCACTTCCCCTCAGGGGCGGTTCCTGTGAGGGTAAGCATGGAGCTGAGTGCAGTGAATGGCCTCCGCCAGACATGTTGCGAGGTGATGGCCTCTTCCAGGACATCCGATCAGAGATCGGCACCAGCATGCTGCAACCCCGAAGTCCTGAACTCGACACATCCCTACATCCTAAATGTGGCTTGACTTGCTTGGAGATTCTGCCCGTGGGCACCGACACACTTGCTCAAAAGACATGATACCGGTATCGATTGGATGAGACGTTCGTGAGCCACGGCAAGGACATGGAAATCGATTGTGAGTTGGGACCCACAGAGACTCTCGAGGTGGAAGCAAAGAAACTGGTTTAAAGAGAACAAGAATTCTGCTATCGCCTTGTTTCTTCGGTCCCTGCGGAATAGCGTTCAGTGATCAGCTGCTACTGTTTCCGAAGTCGCTGCGTGCGCTTGTTTTCCCGACTCTCCTGGGGAGTGCTTCTTGCTGCTCTTGCACATGCTCTCGCCAGAACGTCCGGATTGCTCAGAAAATGAGCGATGCTGGAGCTTTTGCTTGCACCTTGCGTCGCCTTGCGCCCTTGAGGACATCCGGGACAAGACCAGCCTCAAGCTGGAGCAGGACCTAGAAGTGCATGCGATGCTGTGGATCAATTTGGAGCAGCCAACCAACCTGCAGTTTTGACAGTGACGACACGTTAGCTTCAGCAATCCACGGAGGTCTGCCAATGCGCATGCGTTCCAACAACGCTCCTTCTCCTCATCAGTACCATCACCACTATCATCAACTCCATCACTATCATCTTCATTCTCCCCGCATCAACAGTGGAAGGTCTGTGTATATATCTGTCTGTAAATAAACAGAACTAAATATGTAAATATGAAATATAAAGACATAAATAAGTAACTAGCTAACTAACAAGATAATATATATATATACACACATAGATCTGTATACAATGTATATGTATATGTATATGTATATGTACATATGTACTTATGTACATATGTGTATAAGAGATGTGTACACATGTATTTATGTATATATAATAATATGTCTCTCTCTATATATGTATATGTATGCAGGCATACTGACAATGGAGATACATAAATAGATGTTGGCGGGCTTTACATACTGTGGTGCCTTAGGTCATACAAAACATGCAGGAACTCCAAACATCAAATCATACCTATATAATCTTAAGCGTATATCCAAAGCAAAAGAGAGCAAAAGACACCCTGAAGCCCTGAACCCTAAACTCTAAGTTCCTCGGACATTGGCCGACGAGCGAGGCAAGGAGCAAGGGATGCTGGTGGCGGCGCACCCTCCCTAAGATTCCCTGAGCCAGTGCCAGCGTCAGAGACGGCACCAGCGCCAGCGCCCGCGCCCGCCAGCCCTCCCCGGCCCCAGCGCCAGCGTCAGGTAGCGCAAACGCCATTCGCAAGCGCCAGCCGCGCGAAATCACAGTCCCGATGTGGCGGTTCCGAAGTTGGATCCCAAACAGCTCCAAGTCGCGGCTCCTCCTTCCGGATCGATTTGTGGCTTCGTTGGTAGGTGCTGGTAGGTGCGTTGCGGACAAATTCACATTCCCGCATCTTCCTGCGAAGTCTTGCCTCGTGCAGCAGCATCTGGAGCCCCTCGTTGATATGGCCGATCACGTGTGGCAGCGACTCTGACATGGCGGCGAAGCCCTCCTCTCCAAGATCTGGGTGCGGGTATTTGTAGACAGGGCCATCGGCTTGGTGTCAGAGGGCGCATACGTCAGGGTGTCCTGCTCCCACGACCAATCATCGAATGCTCGGGGAAACTTGCAGGAGGTGTTCACTAGGTGGATGTCGGGCCTCAGCACGGGCCTTTTGGTGGTGGTTCGGTTGGGATCGTGAACCTGCATCGCTGCCCGAAGGTGGCCGGCGGCTCGTAGCAGGGTAGAGGTTTTATTCAGAACATTGCTGTTAGATGCTGTTACGGCTAGGCAGAGTAAGGAGTGGCACTTCGGTAGGCTTACCTGCTGTCGATGAGCAAGCCGCTTTGGGTGAGCAATTAATTGTGCTTTCGTAATATAAGGCTGCTGCAGTGTTACCCTCCAATCAGCTCGGGGGGGTGGGAGAAGGGTGATCTTTGGGGTGTGGCCAGCCTGATGATACCACCTCCACCCGCCACCGGCCTCGATATTCGAATTTATCTGCAGGCGAAATGGGGCGATAAAGCAAAAAGTTCCGAAACCCTAAACCTTTGAAAGCCCTAAACTCCTAAACCCTGAGCTCCTGAAAAAACCCTCTTTTCCAGGAGCTTCGGGACTTGCGCGCCGCGCTGATGGACCTCCGGAGCCGGGCCCTGCCGCTGGGGATTGGTAGAGTTAAAGGACTTTAGGACCGGAGGATGATAAGAGATGAGGTGAAGTGTCAGGGTTCTTGTTACAGTAGCGTCATGAGCCATGTGGCTCTGATGATCATGACTTTGTGCATTGTTGCTAATTTCTGTGCTGCTGCCATTCTTCTTGATATGGTTGGGACTGTCGTCAAATTTCGTGACATCATCATCGTTGGCAAAATCGTCAACATCCTCATCATCACCATGACAGATCCAGGCCCAGGTCGGGCAAGAAGTGATAGTCACAGTCGCCAAGCCCAGGAATGCAGACCCTGCTGCGCTGCGCCGCTTCGCTGCGAACCAGGCCAGCGGAAAGGCCGGGATTAATGCGGCTTCGAGCTTTGGGCTTCCAAGATCTCGAATTGGACTGTCGGTTTGGTTCTTGCAGGCAGACTCTAGTTTCGGTGCTCTCGCAGAGGCCGACAAGCCACCACAAGCGAAGGCGCCAGGAGCAGGCACGGACTTGCCGTGTCATTAGGCCATTAGGCTTCGCTGGTTTGTCTTTGTTACCCACGACATGCTTGGCTGCTTGAAAAGGGCTCGAGCAATTTACCTGACAACTGGCATAGCTGTGAAGAGGCTACGGAACGCGGTCCCACTCCCCGGCCAGGTGGGAGTTGGGAGCTCGGAGCACGGGCTTGCTTCGGCTCATTGGTTTTACGATCATCGTTGTCATCGTCGTCATTGTCGATCTTTTGTCATCTGACTGTTTCTAGTGTCGCCGCCAAACTGTGTGTGGAATTCACGATTGTCTATTAATTACCAACTTGGATATTATAACTGCTGATCCGTTGGAGCTCGTCTCAGCCAGGAGGGACCCGGCTCCGCGGCCTCCGCCACGTGCAGCCAGCGCCAGGAACGACCGATGATATCTCCATAGTTGAGTTACAACTTTCGAGCAGTAGGCTATTTGGATGTTGTGTACATACGTAGGCATAATCCATATCCCAGGAAGTCACTTGTACCATATAGTACAGTACACTACACTACATTGGACACGCAAGGACACCTGCATTCGTGCAGGCGACAGCCCAGCTCTGCACCAACGCTGCCACTGACTCCTAGGGCCAGGCGCAGTGAGTATGCGTCGCAGAGCCACTGCTCCTGATGTAATTATGATCGTATCTCTTTGGCCGCAAACCCCCGAAGACCTGCATCCTCAACACAGCCTCCTTAGAGCACATCCTGCCTCCGAAAACGTGCACAGTAAGCCTCTATGCGCAGGGCACCACCTGCTACAGCACGGCGTGACGCTTCCCCGGCACGTGCTTTGGCACAGAGGGACCTGTAGTGCTGCTTGGGAAGGTTTGCGATCCTCCTTCTTCTTCTTGGCCTCTGCGGCGATTCTATGGAATAGACTAGGACTTCAAGTTCTGAAGATACCCTCGAGGTTACCATGGGAATCTCCTGCGACTTTGAAGGTGGGCAGGTGAGAGGCTCGTCCAAGTCCTAACTCCGTCAGGCCTCGTTCCTGTGCAATTTTTATAACGCGATTCACAAATAGAGCCATGGCCATAGAGCAGACACCGACGTCCGCCCTGATGTGCTTTTGGCCGAGGCACCCCCAGGTCGCCCAGCCAGGCGAAGCAGCTCAAGGCGAGAGCTACCAGGGGGGCCCTAAGGGGGGGGGGTGCCCCTTTAAGGTTTATAGGGTTTAGGGTTTAAGGTTTATACGGTTTAGGGTTTAGGGGGAGGTGGGCAACTGAGGATCGTTTTCTCATCGGCTGAGCTTGGCAGAGGCCCCCGGCAGCTCGGCAAGTCCACGGCGGCCGCCCGACGCGAGGCGGAGAGCGCCGCCCCGGTCCTTTTCGGGGGAGTCTCTTTTGGAGTTTCAGCTCTCTGCGTTCAGGCCAGGCACGACGGCCAGCAAGAGCGTCGGGAGGCCGAATCACTTCTTCAGGGCGCTTTTCAATCCTTCAAGCCGGGACCGGAGATGCCCGGGCCAGGTTGGAGGCAGCGCCGCGTGCGGCCAAGACCTCCCGGCCAGCTAAGACGGAACCTCCCAGGCTCGGAGTTCAGGTGAGCAGCGCTTGTGCACAAGCTTGAATTGCAGGCGCCAGATGGAACGGAAGCCGCCCGCCAGAAATACGGACCAAGAAGCCGAGAAGTCCGGTGAAGCTCCCACCGAGTTCGACCCCGGGCAAGAACTGGCAGCCACCAAGATTCAGAGTCGCGTCCGTGGCAAGCATGCCAGGCACTGGAGACTGTTTGTGTTTTGCACATTTTGAGCCGTTGAGCGTGAACCAGATTGTCTCCGCAGGCGCGAGGTGGAGGGCAAGCGGGAAGCACGCGCTGCAAAAGCCGGACAAGATTCATCAGAGGATGTGGAGGAGATGGATCCAAGCCCAAGCAGTGGTGGATTTGACCGGGAGCAGGAACTGGCAGCTACCAAGATTCAGAGTCGCATCCGTGGAAAGCATGCCAGGTGCATCAGAACTCAATTTGCGATGCTCGTTGTTCCGATTTTGCAAACTCAACACTTTCCTCGCAATTGGCTGTTGGTGCACGTGAAAAATGTTGTCGTAGCTGCATTCTTTTGCAGGCGTGAGGTGGAGGGCAAACGGCAAGCAGCGCGAGCGGCAAGAGCCAGACAAGATTCAGAGGATGTGGAAGAGATGGATCCAAGCCCGAGCAGTGGCGGCTTCGACCGGGAGCAGGAACTGGCAGCTACCAAGATTCAGAGTCGCATCCGCGGCAAGCATGCCAGGTGCGTCAGAACTCTATGTGTGATGTTCGATTTCCAGTCTTGGTAATTCAGTACTTTTCGGACACTTGGCTGCTGGTGCACATGAGACAAATGTTTCACAAGTTTGCCGCAGCCGCTGTCTTTGCAGGCGTGAGGTGGAGGGCAAACGGCAAGCAGCGCGAGCGGCAAGAGCCAGACAAGATTCAGAAGATGTGGAGGAGATGGATCCAAGCCCAAGCAGTGGTGGATTTGACCGGGAGCAGGAACTGGCAGCTACCAAGATTCAGAGTCGCATCCGTGGAAAGCAAGCGAGGCGCCACAACAACCTTTGTGTTCGACTACAAGTGGCAGCTAGCCCACATTGCCTAGTCCGTTTTGTGCTGCTGACCCCTCGATCCTGCTGCTTAACAAACACTCCGCATCAGGAGCAGCGGTTCTCAGTCCTTTGGCATTGATGCTGGACTTTCCTCGCTCCTCCCATCATCATTCATTCCACACTCGGGTTGTCCTCGAATCCAAATGTTGCTTTGATATGGGCACAAGCTTGTCCACCACTGTTGGAAGTTGCGAGTTTCAGGGTTCTCGTGGTAAGTTTCGGAGTCCAGTTTCGGTGTGGGGTTTGGGACAATGCGGCATGGTCTTGGTGCCAGAAGCACATGGTGAAGGCAATTGGCCGTTGCCCCACCATGATTTCGGTGCCAAAAGCACAGGGCGCAGGCAAGGCCCCGGTGCCTTCACCACATCTTTGATGCCAATAGCACAAGGCAAGCGGCCATTGCATTTACCATGGTTTGGGTGCCGAAACCACACAGTGAAAGCAAGAGGCCGTTGGCCGTTGCCTTCACTACAGTTTTTGGTGCCCACAACGCATGTTGAAGGCAAGAGGCCGTTCCCTTCATGGTTTTGGCGGGTGTTGGTGCCGAAAGCATAGGGTGAAGGCGAGCGCCCGTTGCCTTCACCATGTTTTGGTGCCCAAAACACACGGTGAAGGTTGCCTTCACCACGGTTTCGGTGCGAAAAACACATGGTAAAGGCAAGAGGCCGTTGCCTTCACCATGGTTTTGGTGCCGAAAACACACACAGTGAAGGCAAGAGGCCGTTGGCCGTTGCCTTCACTACTGTTTTGCTGCCCACAACGCATGTTGAAGGCAAGAGGGCGTTGCCTTCACCATGGCAGGTTTTGGCGCAAAAGACGCACGGCGAACGCAAGAGGCCGTTGCCTTCACCACGGTGTTGGTGACAAGAACACATGGTAATGCAAGAGGCCGTTACATCTGTGGTGCGAAAAACACACAGTGAAGGCAAGAGGCCGTTGCTTTCACCATGGTGGTGGTGCGAAAAGCACATGGTGAAGGCAACAAACCGTTGCCTTCACCATGGTTGTAGTGGCGAAAATACACGGTGAAGGCAAGAGGCCGTTGCTTTCACCGTGGTGGTGGTGCCAAAAACCCATAGCCCCAGCCCTAGCCCCAGCCCCAGCCCCAGCCCCAGCCCCAGCCCCAGCCCCAGCCCCAGCCCCAGCCCCAGCCCCAGCCCCAGCCCCAGCAGCCGCCCCAGCCCCAGCCCCAGCCCCAGGGCCCAGGCCAAGGTTCGCGGCAGGGCTCAGGGCAGGGCTCGGGAGCGCAGGGCAGGGCAGGGCTCAGGGCAGAGGGCTTAGGGCACGGCTCAGGGCAGAACTCAGGGCAAGGTTCGGGGCAAGGCTCAGGGCAAGGCTCAGAGGGCAGGGCAGGATAGGGCAGGGCAGGACTGAGGGCAGGGCTCAGGGCAAAGCTCAGGAGCGCAGGGTAGGGCTCAGGGCAGGGCTCAAAGCAGGGCTCAGGGCAGGGCACAGGGCAGGGCAGGGCACGGCTGAGGACAGCGCCGAAGCGGCCCGCCCTTGCCACGCAAATCTGAGGCATCGAGTCTCGGACCGGAGCCTCTGGTGAAGGCAACAAACCGTTGCCTTCACCATGGTTTTGGTGTCAAAATCACACAGAGAAGGCAAGAAGCCGTTGCATTCGCCATGGTTTTGGTGCCATAATCATAGAGGCCGTTGCTTTCACCGTGGTGGTGGTGCCAAAAACACATGGTGAAGGCAACAAGCCGTTGCCTTCACCATGGTTTTGGTGTCAAAATAACACGGAGAAGGCAAGAAGCCGTTGCATTCGCCATGGTTTTGGTGCCATAATCACACGGTGAAGGCAAGAGGCCGTTGCCTGCACCGTGGTTTTGGTGCTCAAAACACACGGTGAAGGCAAGCGGCCGGTTTTTTTGGCCTTATCAGATGATGGCGGTTCATTACCTTTCTGAATCCCTGCTCCTCCTCAGCCCATAGTCGTGGATCATCGACCGGACACAGGATGAACAATTTGGATCAACCGCCAATGTCCAAGGAGGGGTCGGGCGGAATTAAAGACACGTGATGAACCGCCAACGTCTGATGACGAGGCGGGGATTAACAAATGTGATCAATCGCCATCAGCCGCCATGTCTGTCCAGGGGGCCGTTTAAAACATATGTGATCAACCGCGTTCCGGTTCCTAAATTCGGCCCCTCTTGAGGCAAAGGCGGTTGATCTCAAACTGACCTTGCTGTGGCGAAAACAGTTGATCACACCTGTCTCAAAATCGCCGCCTCAACAGACGCTGGCGGTTTATCACGTTTCTTAAGCCAGCACTCATTCAGCGACTACGGTTGATCGTAGTCTTTAATTTCGCCCCCTCATTGGTCCCATGCTTTAATCCCGCCTCCTCTTCAAAGTTTGGGGCGTCTTTATATCATGTTTCTTACCTCCAACTCCTCATCACACGATGGCGGTTTGTCATGTTTCCTGAACCCTTCCTTTCCTTGAGGCAATGGCCGTGGACTGTCGCCGTCCTCGTTGTGTGCAGTTGCTGTCGTGGTTGCTGCTCATGCGTCCGTTTCAAGACTTGCGAGTAGTTTGTTTTGCTGGCCTCCGAGTCCCAACCGATTTCCAGCAGACACGGACGTCTCGAAAGCTTGGCGCAAATTTTTGAGACAGTGAGTGTTCCGAATGTTCGATTGCGGCATCCAAAGCCCAGGTTCTCAGCATTGTCTGTTCTCTGGGTGACAGCCACAACTTACTTGCTGACTTACTTGCATAAAAAACTGGAGCACGCGCCTCCCGAATTCTCCTGCAACGGCACATGCGTTTAGTGCTATATTGTAGCTGTTGCGGCTGATCCTTTCAGGGGCGAGGCTCGGAATCAGATAGCAGCAACTCGTTACAAACTTCGTGGTATGCACAGGGGATGCCCGGCACAGGTGCAACGTGTTGCGCCAGCTTCTGTAATTAGGACGTGGGTGATATTCACAAGGTGCTAGACTTCATGACTTCCCACAAGTTCTTGCATCTGTTGTTGACACTAGAGCGTCAAGAATGAGCGCCCAAACTGGCAGGCGCGAAGTGGAGAAGAAGAGGCAAGCCGAGCCGGAAGCGCTTGCGGAGGATGGAAAGGCTTCCGATCAGCGCCCAGGCGCCCCATCGCATGAGCAAGAGCTGGCAGCCACGAAGATCCAGAGCCAAGTGCGTGGCAAGCAAGCAAGGCGCGGTGTTTTTGAAGCTTTCCCAAACCATGGGAGTCGGATGGCCTCACGCCCGCCCCGTGCAGATCATTTGCAGTGGTTTTGCTTTGCGACGCTTCTAGCGTGTAAGCTTTTTGAGCTCAGGCGCGAGGTGCAGTTGAGGAAGCAAAAAACCTGGGTTCCGCTGGATGAGACTCCCAGTAGCGTCTCTCCCAGTGCGGACCGCGAGCAAGAGCTGGCTGCGACGAAGATCCAAAGCCGAGTGCGCGGCAAGCAAGCAAGGCGCCTGGGCGCGTCGTTGACTCGATTCCCGGGCTCGCAATTTGTGCTGCACTGCCTTGCGCTGCACTTTGCAGCCTCTCTCATGCAGGCGTGAGGTCGAGAAAAGGAGAGAGGCACGGAGAAGCGAGTCGGACGAGGACTCGGGGGACGTGGGGAACACTTTAGAGTGGCATGCTGCGCTGCAAGCACTCGTGGGCCGGCAGCCAGCGGCAGGAAGAGGATGAGGAGGAGGTGGAGGAGGAGGAGGAAGGTGGCTCGGCGAGTGAACGCGCTGAGTCTGAAGGGGAGGCCTGAAAGTGGGGCCTGCGAGGTGCGAAGGGGCTGGATGGGGAACCCATTCGGGACCGGCTGAATTCAGCCCACCCTGTCGCTTCCGATGTACACAGCCTGTGCTCTTCCTCCGTCCACACGTAGGCACGACTTCACTGCAGTTTTCTGCTAAACGATCAAGATGAAGGGCAAGTAGACGGAGGGCAGAGCCTTGATGTAGATAGCCAGGGGACAGAAGGGCGTGTTCGAGCAGTGCACGAGACGTGAGCTCTTGGCGAAGTTTGCTGATTCGTTTTTCCACTGTGCCAGGTTAGGGCTGCGCTCTCGAGTTGGGCCGGAGTTTTCGTGCGCTGCTCGCATGGCGCTGTCCCGCTTCGTTGCGAAAAAGAAAGCTGCCTGAAGCTGGGTGGGCGACGGCCCGGGATGGGACATGTATACACCCTACACCGTATCCATCCACACAGTTTCCGAAAATAAGCATATGACATACGTTCAGCAATTAGGCCAGAGAACCACCGGATGCAAGAAAGGGCATTCGTCCCTGCTGCCGTTTTCAGCACGTGCGTGCTGCATCTGCCCTTCCTGCCTGGAGGCCAGCTGGGGATTTGCGGTAGGTTTCCGAACATGATTTGCATGTAGAGGGCGCAGGCTTGATTCACAAGCTTTCATTACCTCTCAGGCAGCTGTTGGCGCCGGATGGCAGGCACACCTCCCATCGTGCTGGCAGACCAGCCTTTGCGAGCTGAATGTAGGCAGAGACAAGGTTTCTCGCCGATCCATGACCGTGACTTCCGACCACTAACGACCTAGCAGCCTAGCAACGGCTCCGCAGGTGGCGGGGGCCTTCTGAGCGGTCGATGCCTCGGCTGGCGGATTGTCGGCTTCCGGAGAACACAGAAGCCAGCTTCAGTGCATCGGATGTGCGGTGACTCGGAAACACAGTGTAGGGCATGCAAAAACCGACAAGATCCGAAACCCGAGGGGTTAATCTAGTAGTTCAGGTATGGATTAAACTTGCAATATCTTTCCGCCCTGCATGAGTTTGGACGCTGAAAATCGGAGACCGCTTGCGCCTAGCTTCCCATGTTGTCAGCACGAGCTTCTCGAAGCAGGAAACGAGTTGAACTGACAGCAGCGGACATGCATGGATGCACACAGCTGGGGACAACTGTATGCCTGTGACGGCCGTGCTGTTACGATAGAAGCAACAGAGGGAAAAAGCTGAGGCAGAACTCCAAAGGTGCGCTTGGATTCTGCCGAGCAGTGGAGCAGGAATAGTCTCACCCGTCTCCCAAGCAGAGGCCTCCATGCCCAGCTCCAGGGCAGCGGAGGAGGCCTCTTTGGAGGCCCGGATGCCCGAGATGCCACTGGAGAATCCAGGGTTGAGGCGTGAAAGCTTTGGATGCTCTGGTGCCATTTTAGTGGAGCTAGGCATACACGTCGTAGCAGTGCGAGCATGGCTGTGGACTGGAACAAGAACTTCGACATGCTTGGTGCTTGAAACAGACATCGCAAGTTATCAAGTCGCGAAGGTGGGAGTAGCAGCAGCAGCCCTTTCGCTGGAGGCCCCTCGTAGTTCTGCCATGGCAGTACGACACACGGCAATGCTAAGTCGCCGACAGTTACTCACAAGAGTTGCAGAACGCAAAGGCAATGAGTACTGACCAAGGCAGCGGTGAAAGCTAGCGAAATCCAGAAATGCGCAAGTGAGGCAGAGCAGTGGTGTACCAACACTGGCATCGATATCAGTAACTTCAACATAATCCCGAGCTGGCGAACACCCCAGTCATGTTGTTTATGTTAGCTCAATCAAGGCATTCGCACGAAGCTACAGGTGTTCAACTAGTGGTGGCAAGAGCAGCAACTGTTCTCACATCATGTTGCTCACTGTTATCACTTTCATTGTTATTCTTCTTAATGCTGATGGTAGGATGTTCTTTTGAGTGTGCGATGACGGGATGATGATGGTGGTGATGATGATGATGCTACTGCTCGTGACCACAATGATGGTGATCATTGGCGTTTTCAGCTTTGCATTTTCGGCAGACATTGTCATCATTCTGATGTTGCTAGCTGATAGTGATTATTGCCTCTTACTCGTGTTATTGCTGTCTTCGTCGTCGTCGTCATTGTCATCTTTTTCATAGTCCTCATCATGGTCATATGCAAAGGGCAGCCGATAAGAGTAATGCGACGGTTTAGGGTTTCGGATTAATAGCAATATCTTCCCACCAAGAGAAAAAGAGCCATACTAGGCGGCAGTTTTTGCATCTGCACAATACGTCCAGATACCATCAGACTTGCAATTCACCCCGACCAATCCCAACGTTTCCGGCACCAGACTTGCAGACAAAGCCTATATCGCCCGGAAGGCGCCAAGGGTGGGCTCTTCGGAGGTGGCGCCAGTGCGGAGGTGCCACTGCAGTGCGGCGTTGATGTATGGTGATGTTCATCTTGTTGAGTATGATGTTGAGTATGATGATGATGATGATGGTGATGATGATGGTGATTATCATGGCGATGATGGCGATGATGATGATGATGATCATGATGATGATGATGCTGATGATGATGATGATGATGATGATGATGATGATGGCGACGATGATTATGATGATGATGACTTCGACCTGCCTCTTTCTGCCTCGTCATCGCAAGTTTACACGCCCAAACAAGCGAAGGTGCAATTGTCCTTGTTGTCCTTTCAATTCTTCTGACCAAAGTCCTGTCCCCCTGCCGCGGCTTACACACGTGTCCCTTCTCGTGCCAGCGTGGTCATAGAAAGCGTTTTTGTTAGCTGCAGTCATGGGCAGGGGCTACACCCGTAACCTGCAGCGAAGATGCCCGAGACTGAAAGGCGGCTTCGGGTGGTGGACTGCTCGGCGCTCTGAGTAGCCGGATCCTCGACAAAACCTCTGTGTTCCATTGACAAGAGGGGTCTAGGCTGCAGGGATGTGTAGGTCTTAGGGGTCCTAAAGAAAAAGTCTCCTGGAAAGCCATGCCGCGTTTGTAGACGATGACCACAACCTCAACCTGACGCCTACCAATCTCGTCCAGCGTTTTCGTTTGTTCTTGTTGTTTGCAGTTTTACCATTGGGAGGGGCGCTAGCAATCCTCGTAAACGACGGGACAACCCAGACCCTTTCCCCTGGACACACATCCTCCAGCAACAACCCGCACCAACATGCACCTCGCTGGACAGATTCGTGATGGTCGCCAGATTGGGGGCAAAGGACACCTCCCCCAGCACCACCAGCCCAACGCACCAAGAGGGGTCAGGAGGACGACAGGACTAGTCTGATGCGAACCACGGCAACCAGGGCACTCGTGCAGGCGGGGGGAAGCCCTTCTGCTTGACTTACCGAGGAACGAACCTGTCTAAAGGAATTCAAGAACTTGGGAAATTGGAGCAAGAGCCGTCTGCTCGAAAGACCCTAGAAAGATTCGGGAACCGCCCGAGAGAGACCGAACATTGAGAACGAGTTGAAAAGAGTTTCACATCAGCAAGGAGAACAACGCGCTCGAGAGAGAGACTAGAGAAATTTATCCGTGGGAAACGGTTTGAAAGCTTTCAATCTGCTTGAAAGAAAGAGACTCCAGAATTTGAGAGAAAGGCGCACGCTAGTCGAAAGCTTTTTCAGAAACAGGAGCAAGCCGCTCGAAGTTTGAGATGGAGGGCCACGACTCCCGAAAGGGACTAGAGTCTAGAGTCTAGAGTCTTTGGCAAAGACGAAGGCTACGAAAAGAGCAGCAAAAGGAGCACACCTTCTGAATGCGGTTAGAGAACCTCATGGAAGGAAGAGACCGCTTGAAAGAGAGTAGCGAGTCCAAGCAGTTTACTGTAGCGGTTGTTCTTGAAATGAAAGAATGCCGACGTTTTGTGCTGTTGGCGGGTGGCTAATGCCAGGGTTTTCGACGCTCATCTCCCATTGCATCCCTTCATGCGGGTTCTTGACATCAAACCCAGCTTCAGCTGATAGAGGTAGTCGGTGGTGTAGCTTGCTGTGGTTGTTTAGGGCTCTGAGATTGTATCAGCTTCATTACAGGTATACGGAACGTGCCGCGTTATCGGACGGTGGCTTCGTGGATGCCATGCGATCTTAAGCTAATTGAGCTGTTGTACGAATATGCGTCATCGTGAATACCAGACGTTGAAGACGAAGCTGCACCATAGCACCGTCACCGTGATCGTTCTCATCGTTACTATCTGTGCCCTCACCATCGGAGTAGCAGTCGTAGCAGGCTGAACCTGGCAAGGCTTGTCCTGCTGGAGTTTTCTCATAGAATCTGAAACCGGAGGCGGCGCCAGCGGTTCCGGCTTGTCTGGGGCTTTCGGCGCAGGTGCGGGGAATTGTGCAGACCTTCAACTTCTCGAGCAGCTCCCACTCTCCTCACGACGTGGGGACCTGAACCATGCAGCCATGACCTTGTGGCACAGGAGCATCCAGCGGATGGGGCCTGGGTGCAGGCTCCCCCAAGGAGCCGGGAGGAGCTATGGGTACAGGTATCTTTCGGTACTGTAGCCTGAACTCTCGAAGCATGATCGAAACAATCGAGTACCAGCACCATCGGCACTAGTTGATGCTCGTGTTTGTAGTGGTGGCTAGTGGTGGTAGTTGTGGCACTGCCGTACTGATGACAAAGCCCGTGCCGTGGTGGTGATAGAGGCAGTGGTCGTTGCAGCAGCAGCCGTGGCGGCAGTAGCAGCAGTCGACGTCGTCGTCATCGGAATCGAAGTATAAGGAGGATCTGGGCCAAAGTACTTGTAGAGAGAAATCATAAATAAAGACAGGAAGTCAAGACACGCAGAAGCAGCTGATACCAATTTAGAAGTGCACGGTCGTCTCAGGCATGGAAGGAAGTCTTCACAAACCTCTTTGAACCAATAATCTGTCACGCATGCCAAATCAAATGTGTAGACGCCTTGCAAAGACTAAACGCCAACCTGTATACTTTACTTCCATCCCTAAACTCGAAACCCTTAACCCATGGAACGAGGTCTCACGGACCTAGAACCGAATTCGGTACTAGTGTTAGCCTGAGTATAAGTAGCTAGTACTATAGTACTATTACTAGAAAACCCTAAGCTCTGCAAGCTTTTCTACGCACGAGACCCGCGCTGAGCCCAAAACAGCTGCGAGGCGGCTCGGGCGGAGGGCTCTCGGGTCTCTTCGGCGGTGGCGGCAGCAGCCCGGAGCCCAGCTACTGACAGCTTGTACATTATTATGATTCAACTATATTCAACTTGTACATTATTATGTTTCAATTTTTTACTAGGAGCCATAACTGTTCTATGTGGAATATACTCGATGGTGTACAGAATGTCGTCGACACTGCATATTGCGTATTGCATATTACATATTCCCCCCCACCCCCGCATGTGTGGCTGAGTAGGTTGCATACTGTAGTTCGTACATACATTGTATACCAAAAAAGTCTGTATGTATATATATATATATATACATTATATATATATANNTATATGTATATGTGTATATAATATATCTATATGTATATTACGTCATTTGCTATATGTGCAATATGTGCAGAGTTTGGGTGTTTTAGTTTTGCATATCATCGTCTTTCATGTTATTCTATATTGTGTTGTATATTATACACTAACCACTAACGGTCACTAACGGCAATTCGGTGGTGATGTCACAGTGAGGTTGGTGTTCTTTCTTAGCTGTGTCCTGGCGCCGGGTGGAGGTGGTTTCGGTCTCGGTCGTGGCCGTCGTCTGCATAACCACAATAGTAGTCATCATCGTTCTTGCTGTTGTTGGTCCCTGTGCTGCTTCCAATACAATTTAGATTCGTAGTGCTGCTGAGTTTCCTGTCTGTGCTGCTACGGTCGTTGTCTTTATTCTCATGGCTTAGCACGAAGGGCCTCTGCAGCTGTCTTGAATCGAGCTGTGGAGGCTCCTTGATCGTCGATTGGCCGACCCCCCCCCCCCCCCCCCCACGATGTGAAAGAAGCTTAACCGGCTCACAGGCAGCGCTCCTGCCGCTCCTGCCTGGGGGCTGGGGGCAGGCAGCGTCCTCGGCATGAGCTCCGCAGCCGCGCGCTCTCTCGGGGTTTGCACCTCTTTCTGCAGTGTCGGCAGAGTCAGAGCAGCTCCAAGGCTCGGGCTCGGGTCTCTCGGGCGCCTTCGGTGGCCGGAGACCGAGCTCCGGAGTCAAACAAGAGAGAGACAACAGCGGAAAGCAGCTCTTTCTGCATCTTACGGAGGTACGATTGTTCTGGTGCCTGTGATTTGTTCTTGCCACCGATAGTTTCTTCGTGAGACTTTCATGATGGCGGCTTCTGGTTCTTGCACGAGATTGTTTGTTACCATAGGACTTACCCATCTTACAACTGCTGCTGTGGTAGTCGTTTTCGTCGTCGTCGTGGGTCGCCACCTTCGTCGTTGCTGCCGTTTTGCGTGCTGGTGCCACTGCTGCTGGCTGCCGGTACTACTCATCACTGCCGTGTTGCTGGTGCTGCTGTGTCCTGTGCATAACTTCATGTAGTCTAATCTTGCTGACAGTCTTCAGAATTTGCTGCTAGCTCGCGTGCTGTCAAAGGAGGCGCGCCAGCCTCTGCTGGGTGGGGCCTCGGGGCAGGCCGGTCGCCAACGGCAGTGCTGTCAGTCCTAGCCGCGGAAATCAGATCGACCTTGCAGCTGTTGCTGCTCCTATTGGTGTCGTCACTGAATCAGTGCTTGCCCAGGAGCGTC